GGGGGGTAGTGAATCTGTTTTAATCTATACTATTAAAAATAATCTTTCCATTTATTTTGTAAGTAACTTAGGTCTATTAAATATAATTGAATGTTTTTGTGCACATGTCTCATTTTCTAAGGAAAAATCTCTAGAAGTAAAATTGCTGGGCGAACATGTTTATTCATTTAAAGGCTTTTGAAATGGCTTAAATGGCTTCCAGAAAGATCATACCACTCCTAAGAGACTTGCCTTTAAAGTTGTTCCTATACTTAACATATTCCACATTTTAATTTCCTCTTCTCTGAACCACTTAAATGGACAGTAATTCATTCATTCATGCATACATTCATTCTGTCAACCTAAATAGCACACAAAGGCTCTCTAAAAGAAAAGATATTTATTTGGGAATAGAGTATTGCAGTGGGAATACACGTGCCATAGTAAACTATGTGTGTATTCAGGGAGGTAAAGGAAGACAAGGGTTTTTAAGGGAAAAAATGAGGAGGATTATGTAATTTTCTTGCAGTTATTGTCCTTGGCTACAAAGATCAGTAACAAGGGTGACGCCAGTCTGAGGTTGAACAGGCAGTTGCTGGACGGATGTCCTTGCAGAATTACTTTTTCTGTAAGATTGTGATGGCCTTTGTGCAAGGTTGTGGTTTTTGCAATCTTTTGTGATAGTTTCTGTAAGGCACACAAGTGTGAGAACCTGCTCTTCCTGGCCTTTCTTGGCTCTATTTGTCAGGGTTTTCTTAATATTAGTGACTCCATTTTGGTTCTGACAACTTTCACAATTCCCTTGTTCACTCCTTACTAATAGCTCCCAATGTTTGCCCCAAATTATTCTAGCAGTGGCGGTGGAGGGAGGGATAAGGAAAGCCAGGTTGTCTGTGTTTATGGAACTCCTCATCAGATCTTTGGGTTCTGTTCCTGTGTTTCTTTCTCCCATCAGCCTCTGGTTTAGACACTTATCCCTTCTCCCCTGGGCTCTTGGAGTTTTCTGCAGTGCAGCCCATCCTGGACATTGTTGCTAGACTAATTTCCCTAAATCATTACCCCCAACTACCCACTCCTCTGAAACCCTGGATGGCTTGCTACTGTCTGCTGAACGAAGTCCAAGCTTTAGCCTTAGGCTGAGGGTTGAGATTTTTATCAACCTGCTCTAAACCCGCAGCTTCCTCTTCTTCCACACACAGCTCCTTTGCATGTTGGAATGGTTAAGACTCTTGGTTGCAAGTGACTGAAACCCAACTCAAACTGGCTTAGTCAAAAACACAATATTGGCTTCCATTTGTACAGCCCAGGGACAGCGCTCATTGCAGGAGTGGCCAGCTCCAGGGGCCAGATGATGATTGTCAGAACTCTTTCCTTCTCCTGGCTGGCTTCCTCTCTCGTGTGGCTCATTCTCAGGCAGGGCCCTCTGTGTGGGGACCCCTGGCAATATCAGGCTCACATCCCCCCAGCACCAGGTTGAGAGGACAGAGGAGCTTTGCTTCTCTATGATTCAGCCAGAGTCTCAGGACTGAACCTCATTGGAATGGGTCATGTGCTTGGTCCTGAACCAGTATGATGAAGGGGGAACAGACACTGGGCAGGCGAAAACAACACATGGATTCTTTTCCTCTGAGTTCTCCTTTCTCACACTTGGCACTTGCTCCTGCTGACATCGTTCCACCATGATGCAGTTTTCCCTCCTCTCTGCTTCTTGAAATGCCACCCACCCTTAGTGGCAAACTGGTGGTGAGTCCTCCCCTCACCCTGTCAGCCTGAAGGGGTCTGTCTCTCCTCTCCTGTGGTCCACACCATCCTTACTGTCTTCTTTCTTCTGCTTATTTATTAAAGTGTCCCTCGAGTTGAGGAGTATGGCTGGAGGAGCCCGCCGGGGCGTTTGAGGGGAAGGAGGTTCGGAGTGTGGTTGTGGGTGTTCACTGTGGCATCAGAGCGTGGGTGTGGCGAGCTGAGCCCCAGAGGGAGCCCCAGAGCGAGTGTGTGTCACACACGCTTCCTGGGTGCAAACCCGAGCTCCACTGCTGGCACGTGTGTGATCTTGAGCAAGTTCTGGCTCCCCTGAAAGCCTTGCTTCCCTCCTCTGTAAAACAGCCATGGTTCCAGTGCCCGCCTGAGGCGCAGCCTGTTGGGAAGATGAAACGTGCTTGGAACAGTGCCCAGAGTTTTATGGGCACGCAGAAATGTCACTTCTCTTTCCCCCCAGAAAGTGTCATGAATGAGAGAAGGGTGGGAAGACGGGTCTACCCCAGAAAGGCCGGGATTGTTTCCATCACAGTCCCACCAACGGAATTGACAGCGCTTACTGTAAATCAGCCGTTCTGTGTGTCACAGCTCATTAATCTTCTCAGTGACATCAGGAAGTAGGCACCCTTGTTATTCTCTGCTTTAAGGATGAAGACGTTAAGACCCAAGGAGGGTAAACTACTTGTCAGGGTGATACCCCAGTAATTACGGGGGCTGGGATTTGAACCCTGGGCAGGCTTGTTCACATCTGTGCTCTTAACCTCTCCGTTTCTCGTAACCCCGCACAGGGCCGGAGAAAGGGGTGTTCAGTTTGATTTCGGCACTGGTTCAGGCAGCATTCAGATGTGGCAGAGCAGCCTGCCACCCGCCCGCCCGTGCCTGTCGCGGTTCCGCTTGACTCTGCATTTGCTGCAGCTGCCTCCTGGGGGATGCAGCTGGCCGGAGCCGACTGACTTCGCCACTTCTTCTGAGCTGACGTTTGGTTGCCTGGCCCTTAAAACGGCAGCCTGGGTGGTGGCAGCAGTGGCTTCCGAAGGCCTTGGGCCCGAGCGTCAGACAGGGAAATAACTCTCACCCAGCAGAACCTCCCCACTTTTTATGTCACCTCTCTGAGCGTTAGAGCCTTGGCAGTGTGGACGCCTGCCCGTTGCTCCTGGGCGAGAGCTCTTTCCCAGGTCACTGCCTGGAATGATCTGGTTTGCTGCCAGTGTCTTATCTGATTTCTGGAGCAAAGATAAGGGGGGTGCAGTGCTGCTTTTGTTTTCAAAGGCCAGTAGTTGTAGCAACTTAATCAAGATCAGAGGCAAAATATTACTGAATGTATTCTGATACTTTTAGAAGAATGGGGGATGGAGATCGGAGGAAAGAGGTTGAAGTGATATTTTCATTAACGTTAATATCAAGACAAACTACATTGTATACATATTTTAATGTGGACCCTGTGGTTTTGTATGCTAAGCAACCCGTTTTATTGGTGCCTATTTCTCAAGCGCTCTGTCCTCTACAGAGGGGGTGGCAGAGCAGATGTGTCCCCTCATCACCCTCTAGGGTGGGTGAGTCTAGGCGAGCAGTCGAAAGCACCAGGGCTAAACCCTCGCCACTGACTCCAAAATTCATTTTTTTTTTTTTGGTATGTGAAGGGGCTGGATTCATTTGCAAATCCCAGAGGCAGACAGATGGTGGATGTTACTTTGGCGTTTTACACATGAGGGAACGGGCCTTCAGTGCCACCAAGCATTTGGGGTCATTCCCTGTCCAGGATGGTGGTGCCACTGGGCCTCCTGCCTCATGTCACGGTGTTTAGTCCACTGAGCCGCGTGTGTGACATTCCACCCTCAACACCTGTCTCAGGGGAGGGTATTGGAGGGCAGCAGGATGTTGATGGAGACAAAAATAGCCTTTCTCTGTCCTAATGTATTAAAATCACTTAAAAAGTGGCCCCAAAGCAAGTCATTAGGGAGGCTTGTGCCTTAGTAGTTTAAGAGCCTGAGCCCTACAACACACGTAACCTAAACATCTGTACCCCATAATATGCTGAAACAAACAAACAAAAAAGAGCCTGGTCCCTAGAGCCGGAAAGTCTGGGTTCTAATCCTGAGCCACTGCTTTCTACTCCGGTGACCTTGACAAGGTACATGACCTTTCTGTGCCTCAGTTACCTCAGCTGGAAAATGGGAAGACTATTCGTGCCTCCCTTCTAGGAGCATTGAAGAGTAAGTGAATGACTAGGCCTGGTTCACATCTGGCATATAGTAGATGCCAGGTAGCATTAGCTATTATTATTCTTGCTCTTGTTACCAACAGAACGGTAATAGTGGTAATAGTAGTAGTGTCTCGCCTGTTATTTGTAGCATTTACTTGTGGCACATTTGCCTCATGGTGACAGCAGTGTCTGCCACCTCAGTTGTGAAACCCCAGCGGTGGACAGAGGTCTGAAAATCACTGGTCTCTCCAGTTGAGCTCTTTAACAGCCGTCTGATTTTTCCAGAGGCCTCAGTGTTGTCCCTGATGAAGAAGTCATCGACATGTACGAGGGGTCCCACGTGCCCTTGGAACAGATGAGCGATTTTTACGGAAAGGTAATGAGAAGCACTTCATTCAGTTAAAGCAGCTCATCTTTCTCCTCCTTGAAACACGGGCTCAGAGATACAGGAGCTTGAACTGCTAGTCTCACCTCCTGCGCGTACGGAAGGGACAGGGAAATTTGAGATTGTGTTTGAGAGAGGCTGGTATGTCATGATTCTCCTTTCTTAAGCCCCTCCTCCCTACCTGGTGGAGGCTCTTTCCACCTTCCTGGTACCTCCCCCTGTTTGCCACCACCTTCTGGGAGTGTCCCTGCTTGCTGGAATGGGGCTCAGCAAGGATCAGAAGCTGTCGTTGTGGCAGCTGTCGCTTCCCTTGAGGCATGGCTGTAGAATCCAGAGATTGATGGCCACGCAGTGGCCCTTTCTGCCTGAAGGGAAACCTCTGCTTTTCTAACTTTCATGGTTCTCTCTGCTCTCAGAATTTTTGCTTCTTGTCTTATGAGAGGCACGCACTTGTCCAAATGAAATGGAAGATGCCCAGTCAGCCAGTAAACTTAGTACAGACAGCCCCTAACTTACAATGGTTCAACTTAACAATATTTTGACTTTACAATGGTGTGAAACCATTGCAATTTCTATGTCAATTATAGTATTCAGTAAGTGACATGAGATAGTCAACACTTTATTGTAAAATAGGCTTTGTGTTAGATGGTTTTGCTCAACTGTAGGCTAATGTAAGTGTTCTGAGATCATCTAAGGTAGGCTTGGCTAAGCGATGATGTTCGTTAGGTTAGACATATAAACGTACTTTTGACTTGTGATGAGTTTAGCAGGATGCAACACCATTGTAAGATGAGGAGCATCTATTGTATAAATTAGAGAAAGGCTATTTTTTAAGCTTAAATATGGACTGCAAGGGTGTGCTCCAATTCGGGAGAGTTAAGTGGCTTTGTATGCCATAACACGGGCAATAATCTATTTTCCAGCTTTCCTCTGTGTTTCCTGAAAGAACGTGAACTCGAAGTTGGACGAGCACACGAGAGAGTGGGAGGGCTGGGCGGTCGGACTGTGGAAAATCAGGGCGTTTCCGTGGACATTGTAGTCACGCCTAGGGCAAGACATCAGGAACAAGGGGAACATTTTACTTTTTTCTTAGAATTTTCCTTTCTCCATGGAGAGGCTTCTAAATGTGGATGACCAGAGGCCCCCTGACTTCTAAGAAGTCTTCCTTGTCCCTAGCGCTTTGTTACAGGTGGCTCTGCCACTGGCGTGGGCCCCGTTTCTAAAGCACCTCCTCCCTGTCCGCAGAGTTCTCACGGAAACACCATGAAGCAGTTCATGGACATCTTCTCCCTGCCCGAGATGACCCTCCTGTCCTGCGTGAACGAATACTTCCTGAAGAACAACATCGACTATGAGCCCGTTCACCTGTACAAAGATGTCAAGGTCGTATCGACAGTGAGATTATGGGGCTGTGTCTCAGCTTTTCAGGGAACGTAACAGCCTTGAGCCGCCTTTCTAGGTTAGGTGCTTTAAATAGTCTCTGAGCTGGGATCTCTATTTGTGGTTTAACTTTGAAGATTGTAAGAAAGATGTTGCACCAGGAGAGTTGGAAATCAGTCAAGTTTTTTGTTAAGACAAGATGGTGCTCACACTGCCGTCCGGGTTTCTAATCGTTTCTGATCAGAAGGCCAGGGCAGTGAGGTGTCCCTTCCTCATGAGAAGAGATGATGTTCATGCCCCAGGCTGAAGTTTCCCAGAGGGGACACTTTTCTCTCTTGCCCACGAAGGTTCCATGTGGCTCTCTGAGGCCCTGCAGAAGCCATGCAAGAATCTGGTCTGAGAGGGATGGGGACAGATGGAAACATGTATATGCACATACACAGCAAGTGCTTA